TTTTTGAATAAGTAATTAAATAAATTCTAATGAAATCACTATGTAATCGCAATCAAACGAGTGATCACCATGAAATCCAATGAGTTCACTATATAACCACGATCAAAATAAATGATCAACATGTAATCCAACCAAGTAACCCTGAAATCAATATGACAGGTACACTATCAGTGGTAATGTCCTCGGTTGCTATTCTTTAACAAATAATATTGTTAATTCAGCAACAAAACACATAAAAAAAAAGTATTCAATGAATAAAAGTATAATAATTCGTTGGTTGAATTAGAAAACTTGTTTATACTGTGTGAAAAGTAAAAATATATCAGATGCACCAACATTTTTTTATCCTCCAGTTCTAGCTAGCAAGGTTGCTAAGAAAAACCTAAATTATCAGCGCATCTCAGCCAATGCTCACAGAACCGACATCTTATCCAACATTCCAATCATTATGTAATTTATCAATACGCTTTCGTAATACTTTCATCAGTTTAGTAACACTGTTTTACTTCCTATTCAATAATTGTACAGGGTCGAACGCAAGTAGGTTACGATGTTGGAGTACAGAGATACTTCCGACTTCCTATACCTTTTTTTACGTATAGAATAACCAGGACCGGCGCAAGACCTTGAGATATTATTGGCTGAAATTTTCAAGATCAATTTTTTGAATTGTTACGACACTTACTCAATGATAGTCCATATGATTTTTGAGAATGTCGCACACTTTTTGATACTAATAGGCTATTGATAGTATTGAATTTTACACATTCAACAATAACACTATGATGTTACAGACACAACTCCACCACATAAAAAATTTAATTATGACCAACTGTCATGGACGAAAGGACATGTTTCGAAGGACTGATCCTTCATCATCAGCAAATTTAAAGAAAAGAAGATAATCTGTGAGAAGAAAACAATGCTTATGTTATAGTTTTCAAGAACTGTTGAGAAGTCTGAATATACCTACCATTATTGGTGAAAAAGTAAAATTCGTCTGGTGGGTGATGCCGCACACTCACAAATACTTTGACCTCATAAGAACACCGTAGAAAAGACGGCGATCGTTCACTTATCTATAGATACTTCCACGGAAAATGTTCCTCAGAAATCTCTGCTATCGTTCCATCACTAGCAATACCAGTCAGACAAATTCGACAGGCGCAGTCAGCACATCCTCTCGTTGTCAACCTTGGAATATGTCCAACACCACTATACCAAAACTCGTTATTCTATAGAACGGAAAAGCTTTGGAACTATTTTCCAATGGAAGTATTCCCGAGAAAAGAAATGTTTACACCTATCTTAGATAGGGAGTCCTTCCTAGTCAAGCACGATGTTCCTTGAACATCGTAGGAATTTCCTTTTGTGCGCTCTAGAAGATAAAAAAAAAACTAAAATATACACTACTTAGCTGCGTTTCTGCGTAATAACAGAATTCCTAACGTCATGAAAGTCTAAAACTTTCTGAGATACTGTAAAAGAGTATATCATATCGATTTGTAGGCAATGAAATTTACTAAAAAAAAGTCAGTAACAGCCTCGGTAACAGCTGATAGGTTAATTAACATGGGAGGCGTCTGAACGTTTTGTATTTTGTCATATACATCTGAATCATCATTTCACTTGAATTGAAATATCGGTTCGTTATTGGTCCTTAGGAATTTTGTATGATGTGAAAAAAATGTTCGTTATTCGAATTTCACGCCCAGTGATTTGATTTTACCGCCTTTGCCCAAATCGCTCTGATTGGTCTCCTAGGCACGGATAAGTTTAGTTGAATCAAAAAGATACATGATTATTTCATGGAAGCAGCTTGTTCAAATCCAGAATGTAGTTTGATTGAGTCAACAGTATGAAATCTATCCCACAACAAAATATAGAAAGGAATGCTCGAAGCTTCGAGCATTTCTTCCTTCCTTTGGAAAATTTCACTCCACTTTCAAGCAATATGGACTTCTACTAAAGATTAATATATTTACTCGTTTCAAACTCCAAATTCGCTTTGAAAAAGGACATTTCAAGATTATATTTTGTCGTGCATATATGACACTTTTATTTGCTTCATTCACTTAAATTTTGATTGATTCAAAGATTCATTTTTTTCCATGTGTGACTTTATTTGTGATTTCAGGACAGAAAACCATTCGAAAAATGTTTGGAAAAATTGAATAAAAAACAACGGTTTATATTAGCCTGACTGATAAAATTCTGTGACAATATACTTTCAAGATGGCAAGAATTTTCTTCATTTTTGGGGCGATTGTCTGTGGATTTCATGACTTGAACACACCATGTTTTCGAAAAAAACGAAGTTATTGAACATTTGAAAACAAAATCTTGAAAAGGATGTTATTCATTATTTTTCGATGGTACAAGGGGAGTCCATTGTTAAATTTTTTATATCACTGAATCGATTGAGAAATTTTGTCACAAAATTAGTATGAACAGTGCTGGGGTGCATTTGGAACAATTACAATGAGTAATTTGGAAAGAACAACATGATGAGATGAAAATATTTACCACTCCTCGTGACAGCCCTGCACATATGAAATTATATCTGGATATTAATGAATCTACATATAAAAGATTTTTCTTGGAAGGGAAAGTGCAATGCATTCTATTTCAACATCTGCTCACTACAAATTGTTCGAATTAACTTTCATTGTGTACCTACGCCGGAATATAGATGCACTTTGAACATTCATTACTCCATAATAAATCATTCCATAAATGTCAGTTTATTGCCAACAATTTTTTTTCACGAAGGCTTCATTGCTATTAGCTATGTGAAAATAATACAGGGTGGTTTTTACTTCAAAATATTACGATTTGGGCCAACTTCGATAAAATAGTGCTAATAAGAATTGAATTCAAACTTGGAGTCGATTGTTCTCATTGTTTCCAAGAAAGTAATAGATGGAATCTAGCACAGCGCCTTCTTGAAGTAATTTTGATGAAAATAAGTTCCTATCTATATTTTGACGCCCCTTCAAATAGGGCGACCTGAAGACGGCTTCTGTCAATAATTCCGAAACAACTCATCAAAAAATCACGGAATTCAGTACATCGAAAGTTTTGAATCATGAATTTGCGCTCAGTGTTCCAAAATTTCAATCTGGGGAGTACCATACTGGAGACATTAAGGGTAAAAACAATCCTATTTGTTTAGGATAATTTTTTCACATTCTGATTCCAGGTTATGACACCCGAAGGTTTTTTACGTAAAAAATATACCCCCAGTTTATATCGATAGACTTAGTAGTTTTCGGGGAAACCGTTACTTTCTATACATCATTGGTAGAAGTCCTCTTTGCTCAAAGTGGAGTGAAATTATTCAAAGGAGGAAAGGAATGCTCGAGGTAATCTCCATGAATTTCAAAGGTGTTATAACAAAATCATAAGGGACATGTTTCGGTCCTATGCAAGACCATCTTCAGCCTAATTGAAAGTTTTGGAGATGATGATGATGATGATGCTACTAGTAGTGAAATTGTTGTCAATGTCGAAAGTCGAAAAATCGAGTTTATAAATGAAAGAACGGGTTCTCATATATCAATGGTATATGAAATTTATATAAGATGAATTGTATGCGCTCTCAGGGTACGGAGCTCTTCCTCATTCCTTCTTTTCTATACATCGATCAACAGCATCCTCTCTATATTTCGGTGCCAGCGGTTTCGAATATATTGAAAAATATCCATCAGTAAATACCTTGTCAAAAATTCTGTGGATTGCATAAATCTATTTAGGATCTATTTTATACTATACAAATTCCAAGAAAGGACAATGAAATAAACCTATGACGTCAAAACCAAATCTCATTTTGATATACAGGTGGATATCCATATTGCCACAATTATCAAAATTGCGAAGATGATTACCTAGCTATGATGACAAGAAGATTAGTACACTTTCTCCACAAATTCGTCTATTCAAATTAGGAACATACCGTAACAAATAGAATGTACCGAGTGGTCCACTTGAAACTATATTCACCATCAATAACTCACGGTCGATTTTTTCGTGTATACAGGGTGTTACAAAATTCGATCGACAACGATTCATAGGTGATAGCTCTCGTAAATACACTGTTAATTAAAAAACTGCTAATTAAAAAACTACCCTTCCGACATTTTGATCAGAAGTTTTTAGTTTCTATAAAATGATCTCCTGAATATACAGGGTGTCCTATTTGAAATTCAAAAGTTGAAGTTGCTTCCAGTTGAACCCGAAATGATAAAATAAATATTATTTTGCTATAGTAAATGAATATCCAACCTCGAATGATTCAGAAGTTACAGCTTTGAACGTTTTTTATGCAGCTATCTACTTTGTATACAGTGTGCCTGGAAAAGTGCTCGAAAAAAAATGTCTATCGCACTTCGTTACAGATTTATGGACCTTGAAAGTTTGAATAAAAAAATATATTTCATGCATCTATTCTTATGCTACTTTCAATTTATGTAAACGGCTGTTTAGTGATTATGTTTTATATACAGGATGCGAAGAAGTATCCGTTCAATTGAGGTATTTTTGACAGAGTTGACAAATTTTACATTTTACATTCACCTTTTGATTCCTGCATCTTTTTTTACAAAAATATTTTACTTTATTTCAATCGATATCTTGTACCGTTCAAGAGAAAATCACATTTTGAAAACATACATCCCAACCATTGTCATGATTGACATCAAATTATCTTACCAGTATTCAATAGGTTGGTAGCACCATGGATGAGTTTAGTAATGACGAGTATGCATAATATATGTATGCAGAAACTTTCAAGGTCAATAAGTCCCGAAGGAAGTGCGATATAGAATTTGTTTATATGAAGTACTAATATTATTTTAGCTCATCATTTACGACATGACCTTTCCGGACACCCTGTAAATTCATCTCTCCTTCCAATGAATTGTTTTGTATCTTTTGAGGGATCGAAGATTTCATTCATTCAATAAACATTCATTGAAATAATTTGTTTATGTTTATTTCAGAGCAAGAAGAAGATGGTAACGACTGTTACATGACAGTCATGTTCCATTCACTTCCTGAACACAACCTAAGGAAAAGCCAGATATTAGATAGAATTAAAATGAAAATACGTCCTCCAGACTAGCAATAGTAGAGGAATTTTCATTATAAATAAAAAGTCTAGTCAATAAAGGTGAGTGATGTTAATTTAACACATACAGATAATAGGCCTGTTTCATTGAAACATTTCATTTCATTATTCTGAATAACTAACCCAAACCGTTTTCTCAGAGCTCTGCTCAGATAATTATTTAAATTTGAGAAATCTCATGAATTGAAAAACGCGGGACATCGCGTAACGTCATTTGCCGCGATAAATCCATTGCGCTACGCTACGACCCATGTATTGGGTGTATTTCAGTCCGATATTACAGGTAGGTATTTTTTAATTCAAAAGTACTAAGGACAGTCACATATAGATTTCATTTTGAAATTTTGTCATTTCTCAGTGGAATTTCTTCTGCAATAGTAGGTAATAGAAGTTTCTAGACATGTTCGCTCCATTAGCAGTATAAGCTTTTATTGCAGAAGTTGCAGAAGGATGTAAAATGGGAAGTGACAAAACTTCATAATGAAAACTATGTGAGATCTCTATATACCTGAAAAATCATATTTCTTCGTCTCCCGCTGCATTTTTTGTGCATTGTACAACAGCACAATTTGAGGGCATGCTTGAATTAATGAATAGCCCAAAATACACGATTGGTATGACAGAATATTGTGAAGAACTATTTCAATCCTTTGATTCCTTTGTAAAAAAATAAGAAAAGTTACGTTGTGTTTCAATGTTCTACAGAAAAGTGAATTTGTGTTTCAATCCTGGGTCGGTCATCGTGCACGCGTCCTATACAGTTTGCATGCAAATATTCAGAAGAAGATAACCTGAAATTCAAAACAAAAAACGTCCAAATCGAACAAGTAGTTTTGACGGAGAAAACTTTAGGACACTTTCTGGTGGTGCGTTGATACACTCAGTTCCAAAGAAAGTAACGCACTTGATATTTGACCTATCTTCTTAAAAAAAAATAGTAGGCCGATTTCTATTTTTTTTTATTTGTTGGTAGGTAATGCATTTGTCTTTGAAAAAATTAAAAATGAGTTAAATTGTTTGTCAAAGCCTCCTTGATGGTGGTGGAATAACTCGAACCATGATTTATTCTTAATTTTCGACTCACCCTGTGTGTTAATTGAGTAATGGTATTCAAATTGATTGGGTTGTACTCTGGTAGGATCACATTGTCTTTGAAAGAACAAATGCCAATGTCATAGCAACTAATTTGTTGTATGCCTCTATATTTGACTATTTGTCGTTGTGTCATTAATTAAGTGTCTTGTTCAACTTGTTTTATTGACTAAAATTACATTAAATGCCTCAAATGAATCCTGAACAAGTAGCAAGATTAGTTGCGTTAGTAAACGAGGGCGTAGTAAAGGTTACGCCTCTCGTGCAGTGGGAGTTCATGAAGCAACTGCTCGTAGAGCAATCCGCAAGTACGAACAAACAGGAAGCACCGCAAAACTTCTCCAAGAAATGATCGCTTCTTGGGATTGCGGATCTTACGGAATCGATCAAATACTGCGGTGAATATTCAGCAAGATCTTCGCCAAATTCGTGATGTTGCAGTAAGTAAGCAGACGGTATGTAGACGTCTAAAAGTAGTTAATTTGAAAGCTAGGAGACCTGCAAAAGGTCCCAAATTATTGCTCGAACATCGTGCTGCTAGAAGAAATTTTGTTGAAAATTATGGACAGTGGAATATTCCTGAATGGTCGAATGTCTTGTTTACGGATGAGTCAAGGTTTTGCCTTAACATGGTGGATGGAAGAAAGAGAGTGTGGAGAAGAACTGGTGAACGGTTTAATCAAAATTTAATAACAGAATGCAAAAGTTTCAATGGTGGGTCCGTTATGGTGTGGGGAGGGATTTCAATGAATGGAAAGACACCCCTTCATGTTTTTCCGGTGAGGCAGTCGATGAATGCCCAAATTTACATTGACATTTTAGAGCAGTATGTCTTACCTTATGCAGAGTTAGTGGGCAATAATTTTATATTGATGCAGGATAATGCCCGACTACACACTGCAACAATAGTGCGAAACTTCTCAGAAGCTACTGGTATTACCACATTACAATGGCCTGCGAGAAGCCCCGATATGACTCCTATAGAACATTTGTGGGATGAATTGGGGAGGAGGGTACGTTCTCGCGAGAGGTATCCGGAAAGTCTCGCGGAAATGGTAGATGCATTAGTGGAAGAATGGGATCGTATACCAATGGAAACGATAAGCAACTCAATTTCCAGTATGCCTCGTAAATAAGAATTTCTGAGAGTTGCTAGAGGAGGCAATACACGGTATTAAGCAGTCATCCCAATTAATGATTTTGTGTTCAATAAAAATGTTTTTCAAAATTATTGGTATCAGTTTATTTCATTAGAAAATTGTTTCTCGATAAATTCAGAAAGTTGGTAATCTGCAAGGATTCAGCAAAAAATGCTGAAATTCTGAAAATTCTAGAGATAAATCAATGAATGAAAAAACAAAATGCTCGCAAAAGAAGCCTCTTTCATATAGGGTGTAAGCACTTCTAATACCATTATTCAATCAACATACAGGGTGAGTCAAAAATTAAGAATAAATGATGGTTCGAGTTATTCCACCACCATCAAGGAGGCTTTGAAAAAAATTTTCACCTCTTTATTTTTTTTTTAATGCATTATCTACCAACAAATGGAGAAAAATAAAAATCGGCCTACTATTTTTTGTTTTTGTTTTTAAGAAGATAGGTCAAATATCAAGTGCGTCACTTTTTTTGGAACTGAGTGTATTTTCGGCAAGTGTATATTTTGGGTCAATTATTTTTTGTAGGTCTCTGTGATATTACTCGTAACATGGTTCTCGAGACGCTGTTCGTCACGACGGCGGCCAAAACCATCGGCATAGTCGGCTCCACCCTGTGGCTGATCCCCCTCATCCTCGCCGGTCTCACGTACGTCAATTATGACAGGCTGGACCCGGAGGCGCCAGTCATCGACGCGCGCATCCTAGACAAGGACTACGACTTCGTGGTGGTGGGAGGTGGATCGGCTGGAGCAGTGGTGGCCTCAAGATTGTCGGAGGTGCCAGATTGGAAGGTAACCTTTTTGCTTACCTAAATCAATCATATTCACTCATTTGCATAGGTACACTATGTACTGTCGGAGGTGCCAGATTGGAAGGTTAACTTTTTGCTCACCTACATCAATCATATTCACTTATTTGCATAGGTACACTATAGATTGTCGGAGGTGCCAGATTGGAAGGTAACCTTTTTGCTTACCTACATCAATCATATTTACTGATTCGAATTGGTACACTTCAATATTTTGCTTACCGATCATATTTATTCACATCAGATCGACAACATCACTGGTTGGTAATCATGATTTTCTTTTTATGTTCTGGTTCCCACAAAAAGAAATATCCTGCAATTTTCAGAAAATACCATGAGAACCAAGAAAAATGGGGTAGGAATTGGTGTTCTTCTTGAATTTCTGGAGGTTATATGCCTCGGGGAACATCTCTCTTGGCAATGTGTTCCAGAAACTCGCATTTCGTGAGAACCAAGGGAAATAAGGTAGGAATTAGTGTTCTTCCTGAACTTCTGGAGGTCATATGCTTCGGGGAACACCTCCCTTGGCAATGTATTCCAGAGCCTCGCTGTTCGTTGGATGAACGAGTCTTTGGAAAGAGATGTTCTGCAGGTCTCCAAAGTGACCACGGAGGGGTGCGAAGCCTCATCTCGACGGGTTAATCTCGCGGGGACTGACAAGGAAGAATCAATTGTTGCTATTTCAGAAGAGCATCGTCCATGAAAATATCTATAAAATAGAGCCAGATCGCTAACTTTTCTACGAAGTTCCAGAGGAGTGAGTGAGTTTGTGAACGAGGCATCACCCACGAGACGAATGGCACTTTTTTAGACAGAATCCAACAGTTTCAGGGTATGTTTGGGTGCTGCACTCCAAATATGGGAATAGTATTCCAGGACAAGTCGGATCCGTGCCTCATAGATCATGAACAGCTGACAAGAAGTGAAATAGCTCCTGACCCGAAACAGAAAACCAAGTTTTTGGGATGCACTTTCTTGATCTCACGTAGTTTTCCCAAGAAAGGTTATTGCTGATAGTAATACCAAGCACCGAAATGGATGTCTTCAAAGGTATGCTTACTCCTGACAAGCTTATGTGGGGCACAGTGAGATCGGCCTTTCTAGAGAAAAGGCATCCCCATTCTAGAATTGTTGCCAAGTCCATATTTATGTTGTCAACATTTTTCCCTCGTTTTTTTTCTGATTTTTTTGGCTGGTATTGAAGCCCTGGAAGAGAAGGCGGTAAGGAGGGTACTATCATCCGCGAAGCTGTGTACTGGACATGGAGTTGATTCCAACAAATCGTTGATATGGAGTAGAAATAGTGTTGATGCTAGAATTGATCCTTGCTGGTGGGTACTCATAATATCAACTTAATAATATAGGCAACTGATTCCATACAAGTACAGTCTGTGGATGCTAGTACAATTTTTATGAATATCACTCCAGTGTGAAACATGGTTCTTCCTATACTGCTCATTATCATGTCCTACCAAACATTGTTGAAGTTGTTGTGGAGTCGGGAAAGACTATTTCGATTTCAGTACTTATGAGTAGTAACTATACCCGCAAAAGACCATTGATGTTCTAATTGATTCTCATGTCTTTTAGGCCGAGAAAGCCTAACCAGATATTCACCAAACATCTAAACTCCTCTTCTCCATCTCTTCTGGAACTGTTTGTGAACATTTGTCTTCAACAAAGATCAGACAATGTCTGGATATTCGTTTGGGTAGCCGCGGATTGATGCACGAGGCTCTGACAATCTAACCCTGGTCCAAGGGTTGTAGCCGATAGAGAGGTTTTTGGGAAACATAAGGTATAGCTCTTATTGAAATTCGGATATGGCAAACACCATAACGATAAAGGTAGGGTTCGATGGCCTATAAGACCAAGTCTCACCGAAGATTACAATCATCGAACCTTGAAAATTGGAAACACCTAGATATAGGGACTTCAACTCTTATGAGAAAGGATTGGTTCTCAGTGGTGTCCATAAACAATTTCAATTACCAATGAAAAAACTCATGTTCAGAAGCTAGATATAATCGAAGAGTCCAGAAGTATAGGTGATGTTGGGTGCTTTTCCCGATTTTTATGTTGCCACTTTTGTGCAGATGAAGAAAGTTACATCGAAAACTGATAGTTTTTTCGACATTGAAGATTGAAGACAATCAATTGCCATTACTACCTAGAAAAATACCGCTATGAGTCCCTCTTGCATAGCTATTCGAAGAAAGCGAAAGCGATACTAGAGTCAGAATGCTTCTGTTATCTATGACATTATGAGGGAATTTGCTGATTGTGTACCAGAGTTCAGGTAGAAGAGTTGGTTATTATAAGTATAACAACGATAATAATATTGACGGAAAAACAAAAGTAGCATGCCATTAACAGTTCGATAAGATAGATAGATAGACCGCATATGTAGAGAGAATACTGCACAATAACCGATGAATAGAAGTTTTGGTGACATGGAAAAAACAACAGGCATGGTGTTAAATCTGTTACCATGCATGGGTCATTATAACCTACCTATACTCTTAGTATTTCTGTGGCATTGATGCGAGATGATAACTTTAGCTCACTTCATAAAGAAAGTTGCATTCATCATTCTAGACATAAGCAATGACGGTAGTTATCCTCGAACAACTTCCACTCAACAAACCATTCAATTTAGACTGTGAGCAATGATTCGTAGGTAAAGGTTTAGGTAGCCGATATCTATGGAGAAGAAGAGAAATATTTGATGACAACTAGATGTGATAGACCAACTACAACAAAACGTCATGATTTTCCTAGCAAAATTTTATTGAGCCCATTTTCAGTTTCACCAGCCGTATATACCTACTGAAGCTTATCAAAATTCCGAGAATTGTTGAATAGCTCTGAAGGCTTAGGCATATTTTTCGGAGATTTGCAGAAACAATGGTACCTATTTAAAAAAAACACACGGCGAAGAAGATCTACATAGGAGCCACTATATGCGCAGAGAAGATGTCACAGATTTCACATCAGCAATACTGAAACATGCTGGTATATTATCAAACTGATTGATGATAGGAAAACAATCTCATGTCATGACAGCTCATGTTTTATACTTGACTAGACTTATGGGCCACTAAGTAGTTCCAGAGGAGCTGCATGTATAGCGCTTTAGGTGATATGAACTACCTCTCAACCTTTCTGATGACGCACTATCTTTCTCTCTCAATTGAAACTTTATACTCTCTTCCACCATCTTGAGCTATCTTCCTCACCCCGATATCAAATAATACTTTTCCATTCCAGGTGTTATTGTTAGAAGCCGGCCCAGACGAGAACGAAATCAGCGACGTGCCCTCGCTGGCCGCCTATCTCCAGCTGTCCAAACTGGATTGGACGTACAAAACGGAGTACACGGGCAGGGCATGTATGGGCATGAAGAGCGGGCGATGCAACTGGCCCAGAGGAAAGGTTTTGGGAGGGTCCAGTGTCCTCAACTACATGCTCTATGTCAGAGGCAACCGGCACGACTACGATTTGTGGGAGCAGTTAGGTGAGGTGGAAAACAGATTATTAACTCCAATACAGTATTACAACAACATGTTTTCGGTAATGCAATAAGAGTTGAGGGGGCACAATGAGTTTAGTTATAGTTTTACGTTGAGTAGTACAAACCCAAAACGCCAGAGGCTGGGTTGGAATAATCTCAGAGTGGCAACTACCATCCAATACATTCACCTCATATCAGATTTAATGTAAAACGCTTTCAGTATGAGGATAATGGATTGGGAAAAATTTTAGAACGATTAAACATGAAGCATAGTACAATTATTGCATGTCTAATTTTCCCATTGAAACACTGGAAGTTACTGGAGTCAGGTTCATAACAGTCATTGAGCTGAGCAATGACCCAAATTTCACTAGATTCAGAAGGATGAGCACTACCATACACTGAAGACTTTGAACAAAATATAGTTCTCCAGAAGATAAAAAAACGTTTCATGAGGAGACTCCCTCAATTTCTGTCCTCTGATTCTTCCAGTGTCTCTATGACATCATGCTTCATCCCTTTGCGAACACTGTCTTGAAACGTTCATGAAGTTCAATTTCTTTAGAGGAATCCACAATCTGAGCGTTGGCACCTCTACAGTGCTGCAAACAAGTCTAAGCAATTGTCAGTGGGCAAGAAAAAACACTTTGAGATGTCCATATATAGCGATAATCTCATATTTTGCCTCTCTGTAGCGCAATAGGCGATAGCGTTCGACGTATTTTCTTCTTTTGCCTCCAGATGGTTCTGAAGGCTAGAATGTTCTCCTCACCTACTGAAACTTTCCGCTGTAGCATACATTGGAGTAACTTTCGTGAATAGAATGAAGAGATTTTGTATTTCGTGTAAATTTTTTTTTATTATAAATCGCAAAGCGCTTTCGGCTAAAAAGCCATCATCAGTGCTATACCTGCAAGTAAGTAACATTTATGAAATTTCAAAAACAAATCTAAAAAGGTAGATTACTTACTCATCAAGTATTTACAAAAAGGTCCAAAAATTAGTGATCACAAACATCATTATGGTACAAACGGGATTATGAACAGACATACATTTAACAAAAATGTTCCCTAAAGGGTTATTGTAAAATTTTTTCAAAAATACATGTTGAGATTGTTTTGTTCAAGTCCAGAAATAGCACGAGGGACCTTAACCTTATTTATTCTGGAAAATGTTTGATAATTTTTAACCTTAGTAAAATGTTGACAATGACTGAGTGTCAATGTCTATGACTTAGTTAACATGTGTATGAAGTAGACAAGTGACATAATGAAAAAAGCGCTTGGGAAAGAATTGACAAGGTGAGCAGAAAAGCTGTCTGAAAATTTTGAAACATTCTGAAAGGTAAAATAAGATGAAGTGGACTTCAATCCAGGCCAAAGAGTAAACCTTTTTTTAGTAAAATTGAGAGAAAAGAGTTTCCAATCAAGACTTAAGAGTCCTAGTGTCCAAACTGGAAGTCCAAGGAGAATTCCTGTAGACGAATGCCTCATCAGAAGCAAACATACCACCAGAATACCTCCAGACCCAGAACGAAGGCCGAACTCAAGTCTCAAAAGTAAGCCGGATCCTGAATGCAATTTTGTTGTGTTGGGTGAAAATTAAAGAGCAGGACTTCCATTTCGGACTCAAAAGTCCTAGTGTTCGAGCCGAAGATCTAAGGATGCCCAACCCAAGTTGTGAATCCACAAGAGAAAGACAACATCAGTTGAGCCTCCCGACCTCAAGCGTAGACCGGACTCAAGTCCGAAAAGTAAGCCAGATTCAGACTTGTTGAAGCCGAAAACCGGAACAGTGTCTTGTATAACTCATACAAGACACTGTTCCGGATTTCGGCTTCAACAAGTCTGAATCTGGCTTACTTTTCGGACTTGAGTCCGGTCTACGCTTGAGGTCGGGAGGCTCAACTGATGTTGTCTTTCTCTTGTGGATTCACAACTTGGGTTGGGCATCCTTAGATCTTCGGCTCGAACACTAGGACTTTTGAGTCCGAAATGGAAGTCCTGCTCTTTAATTTTCACCCAACACAACAAAATTGCATTCAGGATCCGGCTTACTTTTGAGACTTGAGTTCGGCCTTCGTTCTGGGTCTGGAGGTATTCTGGTGGTATGTTTGCTTCTGATGAGGCATTCGTCTACAGGAATTCTCCTTGGACTTCCAGTTTGGACACTAGGACTCTTAAGTCTTGATTGGAAACTCTTTTCTCTCAATTTTACTACAAAAAGGTTTACTCTTTGGCCTGGATTGAAGTCCACTTCATCTTATTTTACCTTTCAGAATGTTTCAAAATTTTCAGACAGCTTTTCTGCTCACCTTGTCAATTCTTTCCCAAGCGCTTTTTTCATTATGTCACTTGTCTACTTCATACACATGTTAACTAAGTCATAGACATTGACACTCAGTCATTGTCAACATTTTACTAAGGTTAAAAATTATCAAACATTTTCCAGAATAAATAAGGTTAAGGTCCCTCGTGCTATTTCTGGACTTGAACAAAACAATCTCAACATGTATTTTTGAAAAAATTTTACAATAACCCTTTAGGGAACATTTTTGTTAAATGTATGTCTGTTCATAATCCCGTTTGTACCATAATGATGTTTGTGATCACTAATTTTTGGACCTTTTTGTAAATACTTGACGAGTAAGTGATCTACCTTTTTAGATTTGTTTTTGAAATTTCATAAATGTTACTTACTTGCAGGTATAGCACTGATGATGGCTTTTTAGCCGAAAGCGCTTTGCGATTTATAATAAAAAAAAATTACACGAAATACAAAATCTCTTCATTCTATTGATCAGTTACGTGTATGCAGCTAGTAAAAATCTTCACCTAACTTTCGTGAATCGATCATCAGCTGGCTCGAAAGAGTTGATGCCCATGCAGGTACAACTGACCCAGAGACAATGTGCTGGGAGGGTACAGTGTCCTCAACTCCTCAACAGGCACGACTACGATTTGTGGGAGCAGCTAGGTGAGGAGGAAAACAGATTATATACTCTAATACAGTATTCCAACAACATGTTTTCGATAACGCAATGAAAGTTAAAGGGGAACAATAAGTATTATTATAGTTTAACGTTGAGAAGCACAAGGGAATCTTTCCTACACAGCGAGAAGCTGGAATGGAATAATTCTCAGAGTGACACCTATCATCCAATTCCTTCACTTCATATCAGATATCATAAGAAACGCTTTCAGTATGAGGATAATGAATCGGAAAAAAAAACAGGAACGATCAAACATGAAGTATAGTGCAATTGAACGCTCAGGAAAATGATACTTCAACATGTAGAGATTCGTCTGAAAACTATACTTTTCAGTAAACCCCGTTCAATGTAGTTTGTCTCACTGATCCCAGAAACATTTTGTTTCCATTGAAACACCAGATGTTACTGGAGTCAGGTTCATAACAGTCATTTTGCTAAGTAATGTCCCAGATTCAGTAGATCTAAAAGAATGAGCACTAGCATACACTGGAGATTCCAAACTATAGATGAGTTGGTCCTTCTATAGTGCTGCAAACAAGTCTGAGCAATAAATATCAGTTAACAAATAAACCACTTTGACGTCCAGATATTCAATAAACTACAGCCTTCTAATATTTTGTCTCTCTGTAGCGCAATAGGCGTTTGCGATCGACGAGTTTTGTTATTTCACCTACAGATGGTTCTGAAGGCTAATACGTCCTCCTCACCAACTGAAACTCTGCTCTGTAGCATATATTGAAGTAACGTTTGTGGATTGTGAATGAGTTGATGAGGCTTGGCAATCCGAAAGAGTCGGTCTGTTTGTCTTGTATTGAATGAGCAACAGAAAATAGAATCCATCAATACGTTTCTGATCACTCAATGACTCTTTTCAAGTGAAACACAAAACCATAGATTAAAACAGTTAGTATGGTTATGATTCTTCGTTAAGTAGCACAAGTGAATCTTCACCACAATCCGAGAATATGTTCGAGTTAAAACAATTCTCAGAGTAGCAACTACCATCCAGTTCGTTTACTTCTTTTCGAAAGTCTTGAAAATTATTTTCAATATGCGGGTATAACGAGTCGATATCGATCTAAAAGAGATAAAATATGAAGCATAGTGCAACTGAGCGCTCATGAGATTGAAACTTCAGTAAAGGTAGGGAACTGAACCTTTTAGTATACCCAGTACAATGTAGGTTGTCTTGGCATGATCACATATTCCACCTCTCGCTAATCCACAAAGGTGTTGTTGTGCTGTTCCTATTAAAATACCGGAAGTTGCTGAAATTAGGTGCATAGCAGTCATAGAGCTCGGCAATGATCAAAATTTCACTAGATCCAAACCCATGAAGCACTAAGATGCACTAAAATTTCAAATTCTAGATAATTCTCCAGGAGATAGCAATATGTTGTATGAGAAAGACCCCTCGATTTATGTCCTCTGATTCTTTCAGTGCCCCTATGGCACCATAGCTTCATTCCTTCGCAAACACTTTCCTGAAACCTCCATGAGTTGCAACTCCCTTGAGGAAACCCTCAACCTAATTTCTTGGTCCTTCCACAATGCTGCAGAAAGCAATTGTCAGTGGGACATTGAACCACTTTGAGAACTCCTAGTCTGCGGGGTTATTAAATGCTGTCTCTCTGTAGCGAAATAGGGGTATGCGTTCGAGAATTCTTGTACTCTCGCCACTAGATGGCTCTGAAGACTATAAAAGCCCTCCTCGCCTACTGAAACTCCTGCCTGTCTTGCATAAGCTGACAATCCCCTCACCAAGGATACCGAGATAACCTAGAATCTTCTGGTCATAAGATACTTCGTTTGTCATTCAAGTAGTTCAACACTTGGCAGACTGAAGCTTTTGTGAGAGGTGGGTTTGCCCTACCGTAGTTTTAATCGCAGATCCGAAATTAAAATGAGCAAATCAGTGACAACTTCAGTATGCCGATAACAATAAGCTTTTTGTATCGATTGTGAAAAAATTTGATGGGAATTATTAGCTTGGGTCAAACTTGGAGTTGTTCTCCAGTAGGCAGTGAAGGAAATCTTGTTCAAGGTTCGGCAAGACGATTGAACGGTTTTTAATTAGCCACTGTTGAAACACAATGAATATATTTGGACTCATTACTATTACAACTCAAAACACACTTCAGGAAATTTCTTATGACACTATTAGTTTGCAAAGATCACGTCTTCTTCTATATATTGATGCAATCTGGTTCTGAAATGAACCATAACGGGGTCAGAGTAAATCTTCATTTATCAAATTCAATTCCTCACAAATCCTTACTTTGAGTTCAAAAACTGTTTGGGGGACGCATAGAGTGCACTTTGGATTTCAAGAATCCTCACAGAAAAAAATCCGGGACCGTCATGTCCGGTGATCTTGCGACCCATGCAATGTCAGCAAACTTGGAAAATAGGCAATTCGTGAACATATGCTGTAAAACAGCAATGGACCGTCTAGCTGTGTATACGCTGTGGCGCCGTCCTGTTGGAACCATACTTCATCTTGGTCCATTCTTTGGAGTCCCACAGCCCCAAATGTTTCCAACATCTCAACGTACTGAAGTGAATCGACTGTAACAACGTGCACTGCCAAATCAAATTCACGACTCTGGGTTTGCACGATGGACTGGATCAGGATACATATAGCACCGCAGCAACACGGTTTCATGGCTAACAAATCGATACACACAAATCTTTTTTTGTTCAGTAACAATGTATATGAGACTTTTGAACAAAATTTACAGTTGGACACTGTTTTTACGGACTTTCGCAAGGCGTTCGATAAAGTGGACCATGATATATTGCTACAAAAGTTAGGTAAATATGGACTGGCAAGGAATATATTGGAATTGATGAAAAATTATCTGAGAAATAGATATTTTTTCGTCAGACATAATGGTACTGTATCAAGTCAGTTTAGGGCAAATTCTGGAGTACCGCAGGGTTCCAATTTGGGACCATTATTGTTTACAATATTTATCAACGACTTGCCAAGTGTCCTTGTGAACTCTGATTGCTTACTTTTTGCAGATGATCTGAAAGTTTTCAAAAAAGTACAAACGGTAAGGGACTGTGTTGAGTTGCAAAAAGACCTAGATAGCATATTTGAATGGAGCAATAAAAATAGGTTATATTTCAACTTGAATAAATGTGGTATTATAACGATAACTAGAACTAAAGATCCAGTAGTTTTTGAATATGAAATGAATGGAGAAACTTTAGAAAGAAAAAAGGAGATGCGGGATCTCGGTGTAAACTATAATAGCGTTTTTTCTTTTTCCGATCATTTGGAACATGTTCGCAAGTCTGCAAACCGTGTTCTAGGATATATTATAAGGCAAACTTATGAATTTAAAAATATCCATACCGTTAAAATATTGTATTATACTCTAGTAAGACGCTAAGATTGAATTTGCATCGATAATTTGGATGGGGGAAGGTACAACTGCATTGAAAGAAATAGAAAAAGTACAAAATAAATTACTCAGATATTTATATTACAAGGAGTACCACGTCTGGCTTGACTACCTGACAGTTAGAACAACTGAGATCAGATCACATTTTAAAATACTATCTTTGGATCAGAGACGTAGCTTAATATGTGTGATATTCTTATATAAAATTATGAATAATAAGATTGATTGCCCCGACATTCTTGCTTTGCTACCATTTAATGTACCTCCTCGCCGTACTCGATCCTCACGCTTGCTCAATGTACCTCTTAGGAAGTTATCTGAATCCCCTCTCTTGATTATGCTTCGACTGGCTAACCATTATAACACTCTAATTTCATTTGAGTGGTCGCTCCCTGAAACTACATTTCGCAGAGAAATCTTAAATGTCATTCTCGATTTATCAGTTTGATTTTGGGAAAGAATCCCTACATTTCTCTTCTCTTTTTTTTTTTCCTTTGTTTTCCACTTTTCTGTTATGTAACCTTATTTGTAATGATTAGGTATATTATCTTGTACTTACTTGAATTGATTATTGTTAGGTTCAATCAGCCACTTCAGATGGGTGATTATTTTATATTTATGTAATCCATCTAATTAGGCCCATAGGCCTGTTTGGATGAATGAATAAATAAATAAATAAATAAATAAATAAATAAATAAATAAATAAATAAATAGATAAATAAATAAATAAATAAATAAATGAATAAATAAATGAATAAATAAATAAATAAATAAATAAATAAATAAATAAATTAATAAATAAATAAATAAATAAATAAATAAATGAATAAATAAATAAATAAATAAATAAATAAATAAATGAATAAATAAATAAATAAATAAATAAATAAATAAATAAATAAATAAATAAATAAATAAATAAATAAATAAATAAATAAATAAATAAATAAATAAATAAATAAATAAATAAATAAATAAATAAATAAATAAATAAATAAATAAATAAATAAATAAATGAATAAATAAATAAATAAATAAATAAATAAATAAATAAATAAATAAATAAATGAATGAATGAATTAATGAATAAATAAATAAATAAATAAATAAATGAATAAATAAATAAATAAATAAATAAATAAATAAATAAATGAATAAATAAATGAATAAATGAATAAATAAATAGATAAATAAATAAATAAATAAATGAATAAATAAATAAATGATTTTTCAGCAAAGATCCGTTGATTATCCGGCCAATTTGCCATTTTAACACAAAACCTTCTATAGAAACAACAATTTCATCACTATTTGACGTTTGTGAAATGAACAGTACTTCCACAACAACCTTCTCAAAACCATTCAATCCTGTTGCCAGACCCTGTATGACATTTGCTCATTCCACAGAACTGTTGGGGATAACGACAACTTCGATGAGTCTGTTCACCTTACCCAAGAAGTTGGAGTTATGTTTTGAGATTTTTTTTTCTTTCAGGTAACCCCGGCTGGAATTATGATAACGTACTGAGATACTTCAAGAAGTCGGAGGACAACAGGAATCCCTACCTCACTCAAACGCCATATCACGAAAAAGGAGGTCTCCTCACAGTGCAAGAGTCCCCTTGGAGGACTCCTCTAGTCGTCGCTTTCCTAGAAGCTGGTCTCGAAATGGGGTATCCGATAAGAGACATCAATGGAGCGGAGCAGGCAGGATTCATGATAGCACAAGGAACGATTAGGAGGGGTGAGTGAATTGTGTCAGTCTCATAGCCCATATATACAGAAATCTATGTTGGAATAATATCCGTATCGTTCCATAACAAAAATAAATTTGAATAAAACTATTGAAAAACGCATTTCTTATTGTCGATAATACAACATGAAAATTTACAACCAAGTTTCCAACCTCCTGTCCTACAGATCTACCGCTTCCATCTGTTTGTTACCGGACAAACCCGATTCTAGGATGAACTAGATTTTCCTAGGCTAAATCAGTATATCCGAAAGGCGATAGGATGAACTAGTTTGTAAATATTTTGTGAGGAAAGAACATACACCTCTATGAGTCGAACATTCGGGAACGTAGTCATTGAACTTTTTATCAATCTGCTCAACTTCTTTCCAAATGATCTACTCATAGAGGTGAATGTTCCTTCCTCATAAAATATTAACAAACTAGTTCATCCTATCGCTCTTCGGATATACTGATTTAGCCTAGGAAAAACTAGTTTATCCTAAAATCGGGTTTGTCCGTCGACATACATAAGAATTGAAAATTCATTATATGAGAGTTGCTCTGGAAATATATATACCAGTGATTCGTTCGTGTACAAATAGAATATCTGAAGTGAACACATTGATCAAAATTAGAAGTGGAATTAAAATGTCTCAGAAGTAACAAAGAAACTCAGGAGTGCCTACCCTTCCTTTCAGACTTTGGCAAAATATCGGTAGACATTTAATGAACATGTTTTATCTCACTCTCTTCCGATCCATATTATCTATCGTATGGAATAATTGGATGGGTTGGTATTTATGAAACTCATCTAAAACCTTCATTATATATTCGAAGATATGTTTTGGAAATGATACTCCGTGAATCATTTGATTATGCATCAGCATCATCATTTTTAGGAAATAATATATTGAATGTTTGGCAATTATTCTATAAGACATCAATAATCTTTATTAAAAAGAATCCGGCAATTACAAATGAAATCAATCATAGTTATAATACAAAAAGAACGAAATCAACAATGCACGACATAAGCTTAGAATTTTAGAAACACATTCTGGTTTTATTGGATCTAAAATTCATAATAAAATACCATCACAATTGAAACATTCAGATGTCATAACTTTCAAAAAAGAAGTGAAAAGTTGGCTTTTAGAAAATGCAAAAAAACTCGATGATCTTTTTGAATCAACTATATTCTTCTTCATTTCAATTCATTCTCATTATTGTGTGAATTGATTATTTGTTTGCAGTTTGAGTATTTATACACTCAGTTCCAAAAAAAGTGACGCACTTGATATTTGACCTATCTTCTTGAAAAAAAAAAAATAGGAGGCCGATTTTTTTTTCAATTTGTTGGTAGGTAATGCATTTGTCTTTTAAAAAAAATGACGTGAAAATTTTTTCAAAGCCTCCTTGATGGTGGTGGAATAACTCGAACCATGATTTATTCTTAATTTTTGACTCACCCTGTGTGTTGATTGAGTTATGTCAAAATTGATTGGGTTGTACTCTGGGTTGTACATCGTCTTTGAAAAACAAATGCCGTTGCCATAGCAACCAATTTGTTGTATGCCTCCATATTTGACCATTTGTTGTTGTGTCATTAATTAAGTGTCTTGTTTTATTGACTTAAATTACATAAAATGCCTCAAATAAATCCTGAACAAGTAGCAAGATTAGTTGCGTTAGTAAACGATGTAGTAAATGTTACGCCGATCGTGCAGTGGGAGTTCATGAAGCAACTGCTCGTAGAGCAATCCGCAAGTACGAACAAACAGGAAGCACCGCTCGAGAATTTACGGAATCGATCAAATACTGTGGTAAATGTTCAGCAAGATCTACGCCAAATTCATGATGTTACAGTAAGTAAGCAGACGGTATGTAGACGTCTAAAAGAAGTCAATTTATGAGCTAGGAGACCTGCAAAAGGTCCCAAATTATTGCCCGAACATCGTGCTGCTAGAAGAAATTTTGTTGAAAATTATGGACAGTGGAATATTCCTGAATGGTCGAATTTCTTGTTTACGGATGAGTCAAGGTTTTGCCATAACATGGTGGATGGAAGAAAAAGAGTGTGGAGAAGAACTGGTGAACGGTTTAATCAAAATTTTATAACAGAATGCGAAAGTTTTAATGGTGGGTCCGTTATGGTGTGGAAAGGGATTACAATGAATGGAAAGACACCCCTTCATGTTTTTCCGGTGAGGCAGTCGATGAATGCCCAAATTTACATTTACATTTCAGAGCAGTATGTCTTACCTTATGCAGAGTTAGTGGGCAATACTTTTATATTGATGCAGGATAATGCCCGACCACAGACCGCAGCAATAGTGCGAAACTTCTTAGAAGCTACTGGTATTACCACATTACAATGGCCTGCGAGAAGCCCCGATATGAATCCTATAGAACATTCGTGGGATGAATTAGGGAGAAGGGTACGTTCTCGCGAGAGGTCTCCGGAAAGTCTCACAGAAATGGCAGATGTATTAGTGGAAGAATGGGATCGTATACCAATGGAAACGATAAGCAACTTAATTTCTAATATGCCTCGTAGATTAGAAGTTCTTAGAGTTGCTAGGGGAGGCAATACACGGTATCAAGCAGTCATCCCAATTAATAATTTTGTGTTCAATAAAAATGTTTTTTAAAATTATTGGTATCAGTTTATTTCATTAGAGAATGGTCTCTCGATAAATTCAGAAAATTGGTAATCTGCAAGGATTCAGCAAAAAAAGCTGTAATACGGAAAATTTTAGAGATAAATTAATGCATGAAAGAACAAAATGCTAGCGAAAGAAGCGAGAAAGAAGCCTCTTTCGTATAGGGTGTAAGCACTTTTTATGCCATTACTCAATTAACACACAGGGTGAGTCAAAAATTAAGAATAAATCATGGTTCGAATTATCCCACCATCATCAAGGAGGCTTCGAAAGAATGTTCACCTCTTTATTTTTTTCAAAGACAAATGCATTACCTACTAAGAAATAAAAAAAAATTAAAATCGGCCTAATATTTTTTTGTTTTAAAGAAGATTATGGAATACTGAGAAAGTATCAAATCATGGTATGTTAACCCTATTTTTCTAGGATCGAGATGTTCAACGGGCAAGGCTTTTCTGAGACCAATAAGATTGAGGAAAAATATTCACATCGCTCTCAATTCTCACGTTACCAGGGTACTGATAAATCCAACTACGATGAGAGCGTTTGGCGTGGAATTTATTAGAAATGGTATAGTAATAATTCTAATTTAACGCGCTCCATCAATAAAAGAATCGTACACATTTAGTAAGTAATAAAAGGTTTATTTGTGGCTGAGATGTTCACCTATAGGTTAATTGAATAGGGTTCTTAAGAATGGAAATCAAACATGAGGATTCGTCATATGATTCTGCAAACAGACGAATTCGTTAGAAAATCTGCGAGCGCATCCAAATCTGGTCATATTTACTTCCCGTAAGTGTACCATTCAGTGGAATATCAGACATTTGACGAAACATAGATTTATTAATTTTGATCGAAATATGATGGTTGTAAATGAAATAGTATACAAACCTCGGTAGGGAGTTTCATTCCTGTCTCGAGATCATAGCTAACCTCGACGCTTTGCGTCTCGGTTAACTAACTAATCACACGACAGGAATGAATCACTTCCCACCTCGGTGTGTAATATACTATTTTATCGCTAAGAGCGCACAAAAGGGATGTGTTTGAAAAACATCAAGCGTACCTACTAACTATTGGAGGTTATATTCTGTTAGAGGGGAAACAGAGACCAAATCATCTCCGAAACTTTGAATACCACAAAGATATATTGGGAACATACTCAGGCACCACCTGATTAAGGTTCAACAACCTATTCACACAAATATGATTTGAAAGGGTAGGTATGCCCATTTCCTCATCTTCTTCTGTCTTGCAGGCATCTGATCCAATTTTACCTTACGCATAGGCTCCTATTGAATGAATTCCGTCTTGGAATACCATGGTGAATTACCCTAGTGAGACTCATTTCACATATCTCGTTCATTTTGTAAGCACCTGTATACATCATTGTACTTAACCTCTCCCTTAGTAGCAACCTTGGACTCAACGTGTAGTGGTCATTTTTATTTCAAATGTTGACAATAGGCCTTCATCTTAGCCTTAGACCATCTCCTTCCATTGTCTCCTGTGTTAAAGCACCCACCAAAAGGTTGCATCGTTGTATATTCAAAGAGACAGAAGGTTTCAAACTAGTCTGGTTGTGCATCTGATCACACGCAAGTGCCTAAATCGTGGCATGAGTAACAGATAGCATCTGGATGGTATCAACTAACCAGTATCTTCTGCTCGTGTTCTCCTGAACACAGATTTCCATTGCAAACACTGCAACTTGAAAAACCGTGATGTATTGACCTATATAGTGGAACTAATTTTTTATATCTTGGGGTAACACCACCGTTCTCTTTCCCTCTGCAGCATAATCCTTTCAATCCAGTCAAATTCGATTTGGCTGAAGGATTCTGGAGCATAGCACAGGGTCCTCAATAACGCTCGTAACTATGTAGTACCCATATGAGAACAGGGGTTTCTAGTTATCCTTGCCTGGAAGACCTTATCAAGAATTGGTAGGTTTTAAAAAAATGCCATGGTTGTATTGGCAATAAAGTCTAGCTTGGAAGAGATGTCATCATGAAACAATGTGAGCCAATAGCACAAGTAAGTTGCGGTCATCAACTCATTGACAAAGTGCAGTCAGTCATATTGTTCTTCAATGGATGAAATCGATGTCATCTGCGAAACCAAATTGGTTGTAATCTCCAAGCTCCGAGGACTGAACGTCTATGGTTCAACGTTCGGTTCAACGATACCCTTTACATTTCATCCCAGGACTACGTTGGTTCGTCGTACACTATTCCTCACCATTGTAATTTAGACAGGTTAACCTTGACATGCTCTAGAGTCGTTGTCTTATTTGTGAGTTAACATTTCTAATTGTTGTTCCTTCAGTAGATACGTTGCACGACAGCACGAAACAAACAGCTACATTTTCCGAAGAACGCACATCAACTGAAATCTTCCTCATTGTTTTTCGCCTAGATATACCGTAATATATACCTTCAAACAATCAGGAACATTCATTGACAATGAGCAACGATCAACAGTATGATTTCCTCGTATTTCATTCTTGTTAACGTTTGTTTTCACTTCACGTTCACACTATAGAACGTAGCCAAAGTAACTTAGATTCTACCGAATGTGAATAAACAGAAATCACCTTCCACAAACAATTTGAACGACGTAGTGTCATAGTTCATGTCTGACTCGTTCAAGTCAGCAGCTACATACTGAAGTGAGTCAAAATATTACAGATAATACTATACTTACTAACTCTGAACGAACAAACCTGTCTATTCCTTCAGATTGATTATGTGAGAATCACCACTAAGACTGTCAGAACTCGTAGGTCGTTCAAACTCGATTTCAACTTATTCTGGCTAGGCTAGGCTGCATATCTGAGCACACGCGAGTGCCTCAATCGTGGCATGGGTAGCAGACAGCTCCTGGATGATTTCATATTGACCCATGGCTACAGGGTGGTGACTCAGGGGTGAACTCCCTAGGGAGGCCGAGAAATGAAAACAGTTATTCGTTATACAGCTACAATTTATTGAAAAAAAAGTCTCATTAGTGGTTCAGACCAACAAGGACCAAAACAAACGTACCTCCGACTTCGCAATACAGAGAATCATTACATAACTTGGTCAAGTGAAGATAGATACGTAAATACTTACAAAATTATCTCTAGACGACGCAGGGGATGAACCATAGTGAGTGGTGGCTGATCAGATCCAAACTGTCCCCCTGCCTTATCGGCTGTTCGATATATTTTTTTAGAATATTTTGATATAGTCAGCGTTTTACTCCATATGCGAGTATTTCATTCCGGTTGACTGAGCTGCCAACGTGCGTGAGACATTGTACGCGTTTCCTTTAATCGAATGTTATACGATGAAAGAATGAATAATGTACTAAACTAATGAAATCTTTTGTTGAGTCAAAATAATTTCGAATATAGTAGCTATGATAACATATTTTTGGTTTATATCGTGACAATATAACCATTATCCTCTCCTCATGATCGTAGGTAAGAAGCAAGTGGTGCTAGCTCGCAAAGAAGTCATCCTGGCAGCGGGAGCCATCAACACCCCCCAAATCCTGATGGTGTCAGGTGTGGGACCTAAACGCGAGCTGCGCAAACACGGCATCCCGGTACTGCGCGACCTTCCCGTGGGCGAGAACCTGCAGGACCACGTGGGCATGGGCGGGCTGACTTTCCGCATCGACAGGCCCGTGTCCATCGTCCAGGACCGATTTCAGGCCTTCCCGATGACCATGCAGTACATCCTGAGGCAGACGGGGCCGATGACCACTTTGGGAGGGGTCGAGGGATTGGCTTTCGTCAACACTTATCTCGGTAAGGAGTGAGAAATGACAACATCAAAATTTGTTCATCAAACGTTCTTCTAGACTCTCTACTATTGATGAGCCTTTGATACTATACATCATGAGTTGCTGGTATCTATATTACATTACATTGGCCTGTCAGCTGCAGCTATGACATTGATTAGAAATTACCTCAACAATAGAACGCAAAGAGTTGCAATTGGAGAGGTGCTCTCATCTCTACTTCCTCTTCAGCGGGGAGTACCACAAGGGTCAATTTTAGGACTGATTTCATTTGCAATTTACACTTCAAATCTTATTAATAATCTGAATGAATGTAGAGTGCACTTTTACGCAGATGACACCCAAGTTTATTACAGCTTTCCTCCTCAAAGTGTAGAAGTTTCCTGTGAAATAATCAATAACAATCTGAATGAGTTTGTTAAAACTGCCACAGACCATTGTTTATTTGCTACTCTCGTAAGTCTAATGTGTTACTGTTTGGACCCAAAACCAAACGATCTGCAGTACTAGAATCCGTGAAGATATCAATAAATGGTGAACCAATTCAACTGGGAGAGGAAGCTAAAAATCTTGGGGTCATCCTTGATCATACTCTTAGATCTGAAAAGGATGTTGATAATCTTTTACGACGTGCATATTCTTCGCTGAAAACTATTTATGGTGTTGGGCTTCCTTCTAAATAAAAATAAAAAATAAGATACAGAGGCTCCAGAATTCATGCTTGAGACTGATGTACGGAATAAGAAGAGGCCAGAGAATCTCTCATAAGATCAAAGATGCTGGTTAGCTGACTATGGAAAACAGGAGACTTCATCAGACCGCTAAGACTGTAGATTGTAGATGGTTCGTATAGGCTGGGAGACCTCTCGATCACTGCGACCTAGAAGATCTATTGTGATTTTCAGACCGCTAACCTCTTTCATAGAATCATCATCAGTAAAAAAATCTTCCTATCTCCACAAAAAAAATTGTTTTCCGTACGGACGTTCACAATATGGATATTAGGTATAGAGGAATACTGTCTCCTCCCCCTTTCAATTTACTTATAGAATATATATAATTTGAGTTTATTATTGTATCTTTGTAAACTATGAGATATGTATATGTATCAGTGGATACTGTTTTGGGTTTATACCTGTATGTATCCCAAATCTGAATAAATAAATAAATAAATGAATAAAACAGAACTTTTCCGAAGATGCTTCAGTTATCAAATATGCCATACTAACAATAAAATTCCACATCAATCAAAATCAGCAGTTTAATTCCAATCAATAACAACATTGAGACTTCCTGTTATCATCGTCCACCAATAATTAGAATATTGGTGGACGATGCTATTATGTTCCCATTTGTGTATCAGTTATTATCATGTTATCATCCATATGATGCTATCTTTCCACTTTCTCAAATTTCTTTTTTTCTTGTTCCTACATGTTGAATTGTAGAGGCATTTGAGGGTTAAGTGGTAGAGAAATTCAGTGGACGGAGTCATCTAGATACTGAATTGAACTTCGCCCTTTGCTTCTGAAAATTATTATACACCCATAGTTTTTATATTATTTTCTATTCAGAAGTAATAGAGACGTTTATTTTTATTATTATTATTATTATCGCAATCCTAACCGGACATGCGGCGTCAATATTGAGTTCTATCCCTTCCACTCAACGATTCCAGAGAATTAACAATTTAAAGTTCGTTGATAATTTCGTCGGGAAGTTTGAGTCGACTTTGAGGTGCAACATTTGTGGCAATTGTTTGGTGTTGTTCGATCCCTCTCAGGAGTTATCTCCACCAATATTACAGTGATCAGGCAAACTCGAGATGTGTCATTGCTTGGACTCGTTTACTAGTGTTGAGATTTTAGTCGGCGAGAAAAAACATGAACTTACGTGGTATGCAAAGGGAAAAGAAAATTTACCCGGAAGATCTCTGGAATTTTGGTTAATCATCAGAAACGTTCCTCGCAGACAAGGAAGCTCAGTGGGAAACTAATCGCCATTGTCGACTTCTCTTTGTCTTGGATGGCTTCCTCTTCACTTGTCTGTTCTCATTCAATCCTTTCTTGGCCAATTCTGATTTTTTCTTCTTTCATGAAGACCAACCTCACCATGAAGCAGGGAAGCCAAGCCACGACTACTGAGCAGAAGAAGCAATTGGTGGACATCTTTGTTCTTACGACTCAGATAGGACCGATTTCTGGACATCATCTGTGTGCAAAAATGGGGCAATTTGTGAAATGATGATCGAGGCTCTGGTAACCTTATCCAAGTTGTGAGAATCTGTGACGAGGAATGAGTATTACCAAGATCATAAGGTGTCGATAACGGGACCCTTTGTGAAGGGTGGCATCTCAGGGTAAACAACCTTAGCCCCGCGAAAGGGGCATCACAGGGTAAACCAACCCCTTCAACTATTGCTCGTAGGAGAAGGAGAACTTTTGGCCTTCTTCATGGCTTACATGAGGGCTCAGAAGAGTTTTCTTCAGGAACTTGAACGAAGAGGGTATTTCAAACGAACCTCTGATACTGAGAGCGACAGTGCTTAGAGTAACTGTAATGGTATTTTACGTGATTCTTATAGAATAATCATGGGTCTTATATGGTGAAATCGTTGACGGCATACTAGAGGTATGATACAATGATCCAACAGGTCTTAGTGTTATCAGAGACTTCGGTCAGACGAGCCTTGAAAGAGATGGGTGTTTAATAAGTATACCGTCAAATAGGTGTTTCGACACAAGCTTGAAGTACATGGTCCTTCGTGGTATTCCAAAAGTATTTTGAACACCTTCGAAGAAGAAACCTGCAACGATTCTCTTGTGTCTTCAATTTCGTCAAATTCTCTCGTCAGTGCGAAGTCTCATATTCCATGAAACCAATAACAGGTGTATATAAATTTTTAATATATAGTTATTTCATTAATCTTCCTTTCAAGACAACTTGGTCTCATGAGAGGAAAATGACTGTTTCAATGTTCAAAAACTGTGGTGATTCCATCATGAAGAATACGAATCAACAAAATCAGTTTTTTCTGCGACGGTAATTTTTTTTGACATTTCAGTTGTGTTGACAGGTCAAAAAATGTCAATTTCCATTAATTCATCGTATTCTCTGATATAATACACTTACACTGATATGCCAGTTCCAAGAATAAGTCGATAACACCGTCTCCGAGAAAGAACTGCAAGTCCAGTTTATCCTTCATTCCACTTCGCGGTTACGTGAATTACTAAACAATCACGTTTTTTTTAATCGAATAGCATAGCAATAAATATGATTGCAACGCAGGTGTAATTGTCGCAGCCTACCAGTGAAAAACTTCAGATTTAACATCGATAATTTTCTGTTTTCAATATAATGTAATATATTCTCAATATTGAATCGTCGTATTTCCTGTCACAGAATGAAATAGTGTATTATACACGGGAAAAACATAAGATTCAAGCTCTCGGTGTTTTAACTCGTCGGGAATCAACAAAACCCCTAGCTAAAATCCTATACTTCGTTCCTTGTATATGATGAATGACCTGTTACTGTCCAGGTAACAGATCCTGGCCGGATATTCAGTTCCACATGGCCCCGGCGAGCGTCAACTCGGACGCAGGCGCAAGAGTGCGCAAAGTCCTCGGCCTCACCGACGAGCTCTACGATGCCGTGTACAAACCCATAGCCAACCAGGACGTGTACACGCTAATGCCGCTGCTGCTACGTCCCCGGTCCAGGGGCTGGGTGCGGCTGAGGGACAAGAACCCCCTATCGCCGCCTCTCATACACGCCAACTACTTCGACGATCCTATCGATATTAAAACGTTGGTGGAAGGTGAGAGACCAAATATTTATTCTCGGACATACTATCGCAGATGATACCTTGTATTTTTATAAATCCTCATCGATTCCCATGAATTCCCTATAATTATTCTAATATCTCATTGATTCCCATGAATACCCATGAATTCTGATAGATCCTCAGTCCCATCTATCATCATGAGTTCCCATAACTCACATAATAATATAATAGTTTCTAGTTTATAAAAAATTTTGATAGCTCATCCTCAAATTTTCTTGTGATGACTATGCATTTCTATCAATAGTTTTGAAATATATCCATAAATTTTCATGAGTGATTTCAGGAATTTCCTTTCCTCTATATTAGAAATGAAAATGATAAATTTTCTTTCCTCTATATAAGAAATGAAAATGATATTGTTCATACCAAACATGAAGATACCCATCAAATCGATATACAAAATATCTGGGACACACTGTCATACTCCATGGACAGAGGAGGATTATGAACATGTATCTCGAGTTTCTCACCACATAATCCAAATGAGTTTCCATTAACTCCTACCATTTCTTATGAATTCTCATAAAATATCACGATAATGTTATGTATACGCTATTAACTTCGAATCTTCGCATTCTTGAACTGCGTTTCTTCTTGATGTCTATACATTCTCAAGATTTTGAAAGCGATTTCCATGAACCCCTGAAGATTTCAACGAATTATTCTAATTGTTCCTGATGGAATTATATTGTGTTTAAAATTTTCATATATACAGAGATATGTATTCATTTTCATCAACTGACAAGAATGCCACCAAAATTGATTGATTGATTTTATATTTGTCATACGCCTTCATTGTATATCCTTTTGATAGTTTCTATGGAAATACTCATGAATCTCATCAATACCATTCATGTTTTTGAATAATGTGCCAAGCTAGTTATGGAAATCAGCGAAGCCTTCGGTGAAGTCTTGCTTTTGAGAAGGTCAGCAGTGGAAACACATCATTTCTTCTTCTAATGCCCATAATTTTCATGTACTTATACTTCAAGATAACATATCAATCAATATATGTAATTTTCGTCGTTTACCAACATCAGCTCTTCCTTCGAATAGTCTGGAAGTCGCTTGTTTCACATCTCCTTCCAGAATTCCCAGAAATAAGATATCATAAATACCCATATAACCCATATAGGCGCCTCGGTTCGTATGGGGACTCCCACCGAGACATAGGTTCGAATCCTTGTTAGGCCATGGATGTTTGTGTTTGTATGCTTACCCAACCCCGCACAAGTTTCGACTTATGGGGCGTTTGGTCCCAGTACTGGGACCAACGAGATAATGCAATTTCAAAAAAATAATTCCATGAACTCTCGTTGATTTCCACATATCATCATAAACGCATGAACACTCAATAATTCTCATACGTTCTTCTACACCATGGAGTCCCATGAAAACAATTCCATTCTCGCAGGGTATAACATGAAGTTATAGTCATGTTGTAGCCATCTAGTGGCAATAAAGCTCTAAGGTAGGATACAGAAATCGCGACACACACTGTATGGCGCTGTCATCTATAGTCACACGTACAGACCCCTACGTCTTTACGTTACAGAGTGGTACTACAAGCAAACCACTCTGCTGACAAATTTTTTCCACCACCTATTCAACTGCTAGATCTCATAACTAAGAGATCTAGGATGAACAGAGTTGCCCCAATTGTCAGCAGGAGCGAGACAGTACTGTTTCGACCCACCAGGTCTCATCAGCCGCTCTCGGTCTGCTGACAATTCCATTCTCGTTAATCATCCCAATATACACACCACTAAATTCATGTAATTTTTGGTAGGTGCCAAGATAGCCATCAATATCAGCAAAGCCCGTGCCTTCGAAAAATTCGGCAGTCGGTTGCACAGCATCCCGTTTCCGAATTGCGCAGAACACGAGTTCCGCAGCGACGCCTACTGGGAGTGCCACATCAGAACCATCTCGATGACCATCTACCATCCGGTGGGTACATGCAAGATGGGACCGGAGTGGGACCAGGGCGCGGTGGTCGACCCTTGGCTAAGAGTGTACGGGGTGAAAGGATTGAGGATTATCGACGCCTCGATCATGCCGACGATTCCTAGCGGCAACACCAACGCACCCACCATCATGGTAGGAGAGAAAGGTGCGGATATGGTGAAGGAGGACTGGATGACGAATAGACAAAGTGTAAATAGTGAGAGACAGTTTTGAAGTGGATACAAGTGTGAAAATAAATAGTTTTTATATTTTAGTTGATTCTCCTTACGAATTTCACTTTATTCTCCTGAATTCTCAAGAATTCTTGATTGTGTTCATGCACCGTTGTTCTCACGAAATCTCGTAAATACTCATAAATGCTCATAAATTCTTATTAATTCTCATGAATCCTCATGAACTTCAATCAACCCTCATGAACTCTCTTATATCCCCCTAATACCTATATAATTCGATTGAAGTAATTTTTATCAGGAGGCAACATCAGACATGCCATCAAGAAGTTTGTTCTAGAGTATTTTTTCAAAAATTCTCAAACACTTTCATGAGTCCTCATGCATCTATATATCTTCACTAGTTCTCGTAACTTATCCGCAAGGTCCGCAGCGACGCCTACTGGGAGTGCCACATCAGCAGCATCTCGATACCTATCTACCATCCGATAGGCATATTCACGGTGGGACCGAAGAGCGACCAGGAAGGGGTGAGGATTATCGACCCGTCGATCATGCCGACGATTCCAAGCAGCAACACTAACACCCCCGCTATCATGGTAGACGAAAAGGAGGCGGATATGGTGAAGAAGCAGTGGATGACGAATGAACGAAGTGTAAATAGCGAGAGACAGTCTTGAAGTGGAAACAAGTGTGAATAAAATAGTTTTCCTATTTTAGTTGATCCTTCCTAAGAATTAAACCCAATTGTCTTGAATTCTTATGAGTTCTTAAATGTGTTTATGCACCTTTAGGTGTTCTCATGCTCATAAATACTCATAAATGATTATAAATCCTTATGAACTACATTCAATCTCCATGATGTCTCTTATGTAACCCTAGGAGTCATATAATACGATTGAAAAAATTATCGACAGGAGCCAACATCAGTCAGGCTATAGAGAAGTTCAGTTTCGAATGGATAGATGTGTGAACATATTTTTTTACTCATTCAAGATATTTATTTTCTATGAATTTTCAATTTCTCTTGAATCCTTATGAATTCTCAAATGTTTTCATGAATCTTCATGTGTTCTCATGAATTCTGGGAAATACTCATAAATGCTCATAAGCTCTCATGCATCCTCATAAACTTTCATGAATCCTTTTGAGCTCCCTTGTATCCTCCTAGTACTCATACAATTTGATTGAAGTCATTTTCGTCAGGAGAAAACATCAGTCATGCCGTCGAAAAGTTTGATGATCGTTTGTTATAAAGTTTCTCTTTACAATTTCTGAAAATCTCCATGAGTCCTTATGAATCCCAATACATGAGTTTCGCAGCGACATCTACGCATGATTGTGCCTACCATCAGGTGTGCACATGCAACATGAAACCAGAGTGATACCAGGACGCAGTGGTCGACCACCAGCTGAGTGTGATCGTGGTGAAATGATTGAGGATTATCGACGCGTCGATCATGCCGACGATTCTGGGCGGCAAAACTTACGCCACCGCTATGATGGTAGTCGAAAAGAGGGCGGATATGGTAAAGTAGGACTAGATGACAAATGAACACAGTGCAAATAGTGAGACAGAAGTGGATACAAGTGTGAAGAAATGTTTTTCTCATTTTAGTTATTGCTCTTTTATGTATTCTTATTCTTATGAATTCTCGAATGATTTCATGAACCTTGATGCGTTCTCAAGAATTCTCGTATATACTCATAAATGCTCATAAACTCCGATTCGATTGTGATAATTTTAGTTAGGAGCAAACATCAGTCATGCTATCTAGAAGTTCGGTAATCGCTTGCTCGGATAATTCTTTCAAGACTTCATATGAATCTCCATGAGTTCCAATGATTCCCATGAATACTCATAAATTCTCATAAACCTGCATCAGTTCTCGTAACATATCCGTTTCGCATCGACATCTACTGAGAATTCCACATACCAATCGTCTCGATGACCATCTGAGGGTGTGAAAGGGTTGAGGATCGTCGCTATTCTGATCATGCGGACGATTCACAAATTTTCCCACCAATGACCTGATGGTATCAAACTCCTAGTAAGTGCGTAGAGGAAGAAATACGAAAATATGTATAAGAGTGGGTCGCAAGGCGCAACGAAATCAGCTGAGTTAGGGACAAATTTCGCCATCTTATGATTGCATTGTTAATGTAATTTCACGAGTTATGTTCATTAATTTTGAATTTTTGCCCAAATTTATGTACAGAAATTCGTCACTCCATAAAAAGGCTAGGTCTTCGTTTTCATTCGATTAACAATAATCAGTTTGACACCTTGGAATTTCAAATCGAACATTTATCGCACCTAAAGAAAAATATACAGAACTAACCAATGAATTCTACAAACGAGAGAAGGTAACGAGAGGGGTACTTTTCATGTGATCAATTTCATTTTCGTATCTGATATCACAATTGAGTTATTTCAAAAAATCTCATCTTCCATAAAATGTCGAATTTTGAGCAATGACAGCTCGGTCTAATATGTGAGCATAAAGAATATCAGATGGCTACAAGTCGAAGAAATAAAACATTTCGGTGTTATTTATTACAGCCGTAAACAAAGTATAGAATATAACTCGCGCAGAATTCAAATTTTCCATACTCGTATGATTGGCTGCATTCGCCTACGGCCCAAAATTGCTCTTGTTTCACTATGTTCGATAACTCAATGGGCTAGTTTGGGCACAATGACTTCATTGTGTTATTATTTCACAAAATCTCATATCCTATCAATGTCAAATTTCAAGCAATGACAGCTCTATAGATGAACATTACTCAAGGGAAGAATCAGATGTCTATAAGCAGAATAATTAAAAAATTTCGTTGTTATTTGTGCACACCAACGGCTCATGCTGGGAAATGACAATCATTCCAACCTCGTTAAAAAATATACTATTGTTGCACATGCAGCCTCTTCTCTACGTGACTTTCAATGTCTGTACAGGAAGGTGAGGTAAGGGTGAATCTGGGAGCGTATATATTATTAGATAATAATTGGTACACACGCTCATGTAAATAGATGATGAGAAGACAAATATGGTGAAAAGGAGGACTGGATGGCCAATGGAAATAGTTTGGATCATTTTTGTTATCCATCTGAGTAGCACATTCACGAATTCTTACTCTCATGTATTCCTATATATGTCACAAATACCCATATAATCTCACGAGTTCCCATAAAATCTTATGAACTCATGCTATATCCTTCCGAATTTTCAAGAAACGAACTCAAGAGCAGAGCCCACATCCCCATCAGATAGCAAATAATATATAGTAGTTTAAATTTCCAGATCAGATAAAAAACTACGGACCACCCTGAAGATGGTAGACTTAACTAAACACCCATAATGTTGATATTATACAAAATTATCCAAATACATTGTGGCATATAGAATTTTTAATTCATAATTAACAATATATAAATACTCACAACTTCTGTTCAGAACTGAGGTGGCCATCAAACTTGATTTTCTGATACTTCTAGAGGCTTACCTGTAACAAAAATATACACATTGATATCCACAAATATATTACATACAGTGTGTCATTTATTGAATACCACAGAAAGGAAATACTAATAAAAATATTCAGTGAATCTTCGGAGTTTCAACCACAATGCATGATTGATGTAATGGTGCGTTCAAATTTCAGTGGCGTTCCTTTTTTTCTGTGACAAATAAAAAGTTTGACATTTCATCTCTATTGACAGGTTATAAAATGTTACTATTCATAAATTACTTTTTTCTACAAACGTCAAAAAATGACAAGGTTCTCGCATTGATAACAAATTGCGAAGTGACACTTTTTTCAGTTTCCTACGTTACCATGATACCTTGCACAAAACAATGCGCGAAGTAAAACAGTGCGCGAAGTACCCTACTTCGCGCATTGTTATATAAAATATATGAGATATTTATATTTCAACTGTATGGTCTTCAATCGAGCAACAATAACTTTGTTTTATCTCTTGGAGCGCACGAGAGGAAATTCCTATTATATTCGTGAAACATCGTGCGTACCTAGGAAGGATAGGGGGAGGCCTTTCAAGCCAGTTCAACACTATATTAAGCATATTTTTACTTTAGAACTATATTTTTTGACGTTTGTAGAAAAAATGTTGTTTGCAACTCCAGCGCGAAATACTTTGGTAATCTCGACTATCTTTTATATAAACTACTCAACACTAATTTCGTCGCACACCAAAATGTCGCCCCTGATATAATGTGAATAACTTTTTTCAGTTCAGAACAATTTGAATTTGGTTCACACTGTTCGATAGCCCAGTCCTTCAGCTATAATCTGGTACTTCATTGTAACATGAGGGTATTCACATAAAATCTCTACATGGTGTTTTCCGACACTGTGCAAAATTTCGGAATATTCAAAAGGCTCTCAAATGGTGAAAAATTTTTTTTTCTCAACTTCGACATCAGAGGCATGAAGATGATCTCATTACCTCGAGATATTTCGCGAATCAACTTCCTATCTCTCTTATTTACAGAGTGATCTCAAAAAATCAACTTTTTGTTTTTGCAACAATAACTTTTTTCCACGTCAACCGATTTTGGAAATATTAGGCTCATTTTGAAGATAAAACTTCAGATGAAGAGATCTGAATATCAGAATTGACTCAAGATGGCTATCAAAGATCTAGAGTTTTCTTGAAAGTGACCCAAATCTGGAACGCCCCTCCGAATCTCGGTTGGGAGGAGAATTGAATGAAAATCAACTTGTTCTCGGAAAAACAATTCATTCTGGATGCGTCCATATTTTCCTCGCTCTCAGTTCTCAAGAATGTGCGTGAGAAAACACAATTGAAACATGTTCTTGCAAAAACATCAGACCATTTTTCCTCTGTAATGCATGGCCCGTAACCAACGTTACAAGAATCACAGTAAGTGACTGACAAGTCAGGTTAGACGTCGTTTTCGAATCATAAACAGATTTTGATAGTTTCGATGCCGCATCTAACGACCGACCAGTTGGAACTGATTCCACAAATGAGGGAACAAGGGTTATCTTCCCTCCAAATCGCGGATCTGCTAAACACGACAGTCCGATCCATTCAAAGGGCTTATCTCCGACACGAATTTTTTTTTTATTACTGTCGATTCGTTCGACGCATTATTGCGACTGAAAACTTTACGAAATTGGCAAACTGTTTTCGTGAAACTTTCACC